CACACACACACACACACGCACACACACTTCTCTTTCTCTTTTCGCTCTCTTTATATATAAATATATAAAGAAAAACAGTAAATAATCCGATAACTGAGTGAGACGATATGTCCTAACACCGCTGTGCAAACCAGTTTATTATGCGCCGCCCATAACCTTGAAACCGCATATGTCGGGACCATGGTAAACCGCGGAACACATGTATAATAGTTTGTGATTTCATGTTGAAAGATGAGTGGGCTTTAGTACACTCTTTTATTAAAGTTAAAGAGTTTTAAAAGGTAACCTCCGCTTACAGCGTACATATGACATATACAACACTTGGCAATCCCAGAATGATTCAAAATACTGTTTGAATTTTTTTTTCTGGTAGTGACCGTTTGTTTTCTGTTTTATAGTTGATGTCAATGTCAAATTTTGTTCGGAAATTCGACTTTGACTGTGGATATGCCACTCTATCCATTTGAAAAGACAGACATCAAGCTAGCTGCGTCCCATCCATACCTTAATGACACTTGCTGCTTTTGAAATCAAGGTCATTTACTTTATGTTACAGTTTGGTAATGGATGTTACATTAAACTGGAGGCGAGCACGAGTCTCAAGTTTGAGAACACACATTACCCGAGACTAGGAATATTGTTTTCTATGGCTGGAGTACATCCTTTTAAATGATACACATAATGAGTTTATAATATGCATCGAGGCTACCTCCTCTCTACTTTGATGTCTTCCAAATGGCCCGGGTGTCATCAGCAAAACATGTAGGCACTTTCCCGCCTCATTGGCTCCCAAATGTATTTTAAATATCATTCCTTGTAACACAATTATTTAAAACGCTGAACTAAACACTTACTAATGGGGGGGAAAAAAGAAGGAGACTTCAATAGATTCATTTCTCAAATGGTTGGCCTTGGTATTTTTTATAATTTTTTTTTGTCTATGAAGTAGAAGCAACTCTGATGACAACAAAAAAACATCAATAACATGCCACCCCTTCTCCTACCCCCCTGCCATTGGACATATTCTGTTTCTTTATATTACCCGCCACAAGCAGTATAGCTTCATGTGTTTTCTGCTTTTCTGGTCAAGCGCCTTCTTCTCCCAAGGTGGTAAGAGGCTGAACATCAGTCCTGATGAAAGCAAGCCACTTCATTTATGCAATCATTGGCAATTAGTTCCCTCTGATTATGTGCCTCTTAATGCTGTTTGGAGTACTGTGGCACACATACCGAGGGAGATTTAACTGCAGCCCTCCTGCCGCATTGTGAAGTCATTCAATATACTGTGAGCGTGATGAAATGTAATTAGAGTAATATCAAATGCTAATGGATTTGCAATTTCGTTTGTTGTTAGTTTAAGGCAGACTTGTAGAAGACGGTGTAGGTTTTTAGAGCATGTCTGTCAGGTTTCATTGTACTGCGAAGTTTGTTGGAAAAAGAAAACTGGTGTTGACAAGTGGAATAATTAACCGGATAATCTAACAGGCTGCAACACATAAGCAAATATCGGCGTTGACATCAAAAATACAATGGTGAAAAGAAGAAGCTATCATGACTTTTTTTTTAATAGGCTGGCATGATAAATCGTAGATGCTACTTGTAATGACATCACCATAATGAATTTCAAACAAGTGCATAAATTAGTACGAAAACTGGGAAGCAGAGTTACCTTCAAAATCATGTGAAAGTAAAAAATGAACAATATTATAACGCGAAATTGTTATCAAAGTACGGTAAAGTGTACTGTTAACCAAGGCTTGATGTTCGCCATCCAGCTAGCTAGCTAGCTAGCTGGCTCAACATGATGAATTTTTATTTGCATTTCAGATTTACAGTTAAGAAGAGCGTCTACTGTTTTGTTTTTGACATATGACAGTGGTTAACTGACATTTAAGAATCTTTATAAAGTATACTATTTCCACAAGGATTTGTATGCTAAGCTTCTATTGCTCATCAAAGGTTTTATGATGGCGACAGGTTTGACTTTTGATCAGATGAATTTGATTTCCATTATTTCTTATGGAAAAATAATTTTGAAATTCAAACAAATCCGAGGTCGACGCGTATCCCGGTATATATTGTGCTCGATCAAACCAAAATGATGAAATTCAATTTCTTCTATTTATTTAAGTGTCATGAAATAGTCTATTGATAGCCGATCAATAATGTTTTTTATGGCTGCATAGTTCCATAAAAGCTGTCAACGTGGCTGAATGCAAAGTACCCGATGTCTATTTAGGATGCTTGACATGTTGCTGGAGAACCCAAATGAATTTATAGAGCATTAAATTAAACCACAGCTCCGAACTACTCTGGGCTAGCGTGATTACATTTCTATATTGTTTGAGCGTTGGGCCCCAGTCCACACATTGCAACACAGATTCCAATTGTCTCTCGATGCACTGATCAACATGCAAATAGCTCTCTGCTTCATGGTGACAAAAGGGAGGTTCATATTTCAGCATAATAGTCTTGGATAACTTTAACCATCGATCACAACCTCATTTCATTGTGCTAGCGGTTAATACGTGCTTCCCTGCCAAGTGGAACATTTTCTAATGATGTGCTCGCAACACAAAAACAAGGCAAGCCAGCCCAGGCTGTGCATCAGTCACTAATGCACCCATCCATAATATGTTTCATAGCAGCGTGCTTAACGGAGACAGCCAGCGTATTGACTACTACTATGCATGGGCGCGATTGCCGGGAAGTCGAGGAATGGGGTGAAATACAAAACTTTCATTTCTATTATAATCATCAGCAAAGTTGCTGGCATCGAATATTACATATGACCCACAACAAAAATACATAGACACACAGTGAAACTTCTGCATCTCAAAAAACAAAATTCGAAACATGGTTCCCTACAGAACTTACAAAAATATACCTCTTGTGGTAAATTAACAATAAAACAATAATGAAGGCAAAAATGTCTCCTGAATCTTCAGCAAATACAGCAATTCACTCTGATGAGTGGCAACCTGGGCGGCACGGTGATCCAGTGATTAGCGCCTCGACCTCACAGTGCAGAGGTCATGAGTTTGATCCCGGCTCCAGCCTTCCTGTGTGGAGTTTGCATGTTCTCCCCGGGCCAGCGTGGGTTTTCTTCGGGTACTCCGGTTTCCTCCCACATTCCAAAAACAAGCATGATTGAACACTTTAAATTGTCCCGAGGTGTGAGTGTGAGCGTGGATGGTTGTTCGTCTCTGTGTGCCCTGCAATTGGCTGGCAACCGGTTCAGGATGTCCCGCGCCTACTGCCCAAAGATGGCAGGGATAGGCTCCAGCATCGGCCGCAACCCTTCTGAGGATAAAGCGGATCGAAAAATCGGTGGATGGATGAAGTGGCAACCCAAGTGAAATTAACCTCTGAGCCGTTTTGTATCACAACACGAACTTTAGGAGCCTCTGGATCAGATGCCATTCACAGCCTAATGTACCGATATTATTGTTTTTCCCTCCATGATATATGAAGATTACACCAGAAACTGCTGATGTCCTTTACCTTGTACCGGTAATCAGGTTGAAAGTGTCACACTAATTACACAATACATACTGCAAATAATTAAAGATTGTACAGTGTAGTTAAAGACCAAAATGTTTAAGCAAACTGCATGAATGCATCCACTGAAGATGATTTTTTTTTCCACAAATCATTTTACTGTTGCTATATTCGTGTTTTTTTTGTTAATGACCATATGTATATGCTGTATAATTTTTTTAACAATTAGAAACTCTCCCTTTAATACTAGTCGTATTTGTTTTTCATCTGTATATTCACTATAATTTTGACTTTATACCGAGTTACCATGTGTTCGTGATTGACTAGATCAGGGGTGTCAAACAGGGGTGGGCCACTTTGGAGCTACGTCTTCCCTCGGATGGCCGTTATGACAGTGAAATCACAGACAATGTTTAATCATGTCGCATGATTTACTTGTACACAACAAAATAATGGTTTACTAGTTTTGAAATGAGTAAACTATCACACCGGTAGTTAAATTATTGTTCAAGTGAATGTAAAGAGGGTGACAAAATGTTTGCAAAATCTCAATATTGTTTACGACACATGCCTATTTGACAATTCGGAACAGATTTTAGCAAGGATCATGCAAGTTGACACATGATTTGCTGTTGCAGGCCACAAAGTGACGCGGCTGAAGGGACCTTGCCTTGAGTTTGACACCTGTGGACTAGGTTGTACACTGATAAAAAGTTGTTCTAAACTGTTTCTTTTTTTGTTTTTTTGGGGAGGGAGGGGGTCAAGCTGGTAAACAAGGAGTTCCAATTTCCACAATGAGTAGAGAATTTTTTGGAGCACCTGCATGTGAATGCTGAGGAGCTGCTGCAAAATTAAAGTCTTCAGTGGAAGACTGATAAGTATTTGGTTGAAGTGATACATTTTTTTTGGCCATTGAAAATTCATCATGTCGAAAAATATGGACATTTGGGGAATCTAAGAGGGGGCGGGGGGATAATTGCACCGAGTATGTTGCTGTGACACGTTTGTTTTGAAATGTCGTGTGGCCAGCTTGGTCTGTTCAGCGTTCGTGAGTCACAGCTCCCTCAGCAACTTGGTAGATTGCAATCGATTTAACCAATGCATTGCCGTTCTATCGAGTTATGCAGCGTTATTTTATTTTGAGGCGTCGTGCGTGTATAGATTCGTGTTTTAATGGATGATAGGTGTGATCAAAAGCAACATTGCGCGATCATTTCCGGGTGTGATGACAGCCTTCAATCATTAGGTCACTTGTTTGACTTCTCCCCTTTATAACCTCGGTTCTACTGTGCAGCCATCAACAAAGAGGACAATGCCGTTCCGGAAGGTTTTCATCGGCTCTGATAAGGTTCCACGACTTATTGTTATATGAAACCAATGTGTTGGGCGTTTTGACTCCTCTGAAAAACTCCAATGCAGTACGGAAATAAAAACAGCTGTACAACAACGCCATCTATTGGTAAACGCGCAGCTGTGTTACTGAGCCAAAGACGACTCGATCGAGGCCAGGAAAGACATTTAATGGTAACTGCCAATATGGTCCTTTCTTCACTTGGAGCTGGTGTACTTCGTGACGGCCTTGGTGCCCTCGGACACGGCGTGCTTGGCCAGCTCGCCGGGCAGCAGCAGCCTGACGGCGGTCTGCACTTCGCGGCTGGTGATGGTGGCCCGCTTGTTGTACTGGGCCAGGCGCGACGCCTCGGTGGCGATCCTCTCGAACAAGTCATTGACGAACGAATTCATGATGCTCATGGCCCGGCTGGAGATGCCCGTGTCCGGATGAACCTAAATCAATAAACACGTTTCTCTGTCACTACCAAGCTTTGTTCATTTGCATACACTTTCAGCTAAAATACATCTAATCACAGGTTCCAGAACAGTCTTAAATTACTATTAGTCGTATTATTAGTAGTATAAAGTTGGATCAAAGTGAGTATTGGGACCTAACTGTAACAGTCCTTATGATGGTTGGAACACTAGGCAGCCAACATGCGGGATTGCGACAGTTCGGTCTCCAGCTACAGAGGAGACACCGCAGGACTTTGTTTTTTTTTTTATTAGCATATTCCAACATAAAAATGTTTTTGTTCCTGCATTAAACCCATGTACTGCAGTCGATGTAAATAAGTTTATATAACGCAACATACAATTTTACAAAAATTGTAAAAGTATTATTCCTGAATATTTATTTTACTTTCAACCACTCGACATGTTCAGTGGCATCAGTGCTATACATACACATATAGTTCTTATTTTTTTCTTTGTATTTTTGCCCTCTATAGACAATAAAAGCGGTATTGTGCTATGACCAAAACATAAATATAAATCTATGTAAATAAAACATGAATTGGAATATTTCATATCACACAATTTTTATGCTTTGTCTTTGATTTAAAGATGACAATACGCAAAAATCTACAAAAATTGTAGAAATTGTCACACAAGGGCTACGTTTTTCACTGTTAAATCCCCCACCCCCAATACTAAGTAATACAGTATTTCTGCAGCCAGCTGATGAAGCTTCCACTTTTTTTTAATCGAAATTATGTTATTCATTTGCCCCACTGGACGTGAAGCGCAGTGTCAAGTCAATGTTTCTCAAAATGTGGTATGGTACACGTCCTCCCTCTAGTGGTAGATGAAATAATCACTGCCGTAGCACAGTTCATGTTATCTAACGTTTTATTTCAAACCATTTGCATTTAATCGGTGAGAACTTTATTTTTTTTTAAACATTAGGTATAAATTTTATGTGCAATAATGAACATTTTAATTGAAGCATTTAAGGAATGTACGCTTTACTCTTCTTATATTTAAGCACATGGGTTATCTTGAGAATGCATAATGTTAAGAGTGGCTTACAATAATAATAAATAGGAATAAAGCCTTTGTATCGTTTTTAATGAACACTGAGGCATAGTGCACTGGTCAGATTTGATAAAATCTAAATACGAGTTTATTAAACCTACACTAAAATAAATACATTGTTCACTTAGGTTTCCTGGGTTTTAGTTACCCTAAAGTGGCTTCGAGAGAAAGAGAGCCAAAAGTTACAGTTATGTTAACAATGATAATTTTGTCCCCCCTTGGGAAGTCAACAATGACAACAACGGAAGTGGTATGATTCCAAATGGCCAGGCCGGTTAAAAAGCACAAGTCAAAGTTGTTGCTCACCTGTTTTAGAACTTTATAGATGTACATGGCGTACGTCTCTTTACGTTTGACCTTTTTCTTGGCCCTTTTCTCACCGGAACTCTTGCCCCTCTTCTTTGAAATGTCATTCGACATTATTATTGTTGTTGTTGTTGTTGATGTTCTTGACCACGGTTGTTTAACACGTTGTTTAGGAACGATTCTCCCATTGCCCTTTATCGCGAACTTCAATTTATTGGGCGTGAAGCCAAGCCATTAGTAGCTAATGATGCTCACCTGTTTGCCCTTTGCACGCTGCATAATTAGTGGACGTCACAAATGTCTCACAACAATGGAGAAAGAAGCTGGAATAAAGTGAATTTGTACGTCTGTGTCTGGAAATCTGAATTTGTTTTAGTCGATTTAAAAAAACAACCAATACTTGCACTGAGTAATTTTGTCCACTAAGTGGCGGACTGTTACCGTTTCTTGGATACATGCGGTGTATGTTTTGTGTATTTTTTTCGCCCTTTTGAGGTGGTTAGGCGAATTACATTTTATTTTCACCTGACCTGAGTTGGTTATCAAAAAGCTTCAGCAGTCATTTAGACTATCTGTGTCTGTTTTATGGTCTTGTTTTATAATAAATAAGATGGGTAACCTCAATATTTATCATTTGCTTGCATTGCGTACAAGTATTTGAGTCATTCCTTGCAACAAGTGGCTTTTCAGTGTGATAAATCTTTGAGGTTTTTAACATTACAATCTATCAGGAAGATGACATGCTTAACCTTCAGGAAAATGTACTGGAAGAGCTTAAAGCACCCCCCAAAATATGTAGTAATAATAATTAGCATTAGTAATCAACAGTTAATTTCACCCTGCTGGGCAAACCGAACAGTTTGCCTATCTGTGGAAGAAGTGTTTTTACAGACCCTTTGCCTGGTAGAATTTGTTTGTAATTGATGGTGAGTTCATTTTATTGCTCAAATTGTACTGAGTGGCCAATCCCTTTCTAATTTGTGGTTCATGAGTTCTGAGGCGCATTGTCCAGCTGTCTCTCTGCAGATGGCAACAGAAAAACTGCCAACAGAAACACAATTTGTCAGCATGAGAGATACGAAGGGGCCTTGGTCAATGACTCTGCAGAGGAAACTACTTGCATGCCTTTCCAACCCAGTTTTTGTGAACAGAGGTGAGTGTGGCAATAAACTCATCGATTGGGAGGTTGACTCTAATCAAGTAATCATGATCCGACCACTCCTGCATTGTGTAAATAATTGATATCACTGTGATTAATGTGTTCTGGAGGCTCAGCAGCACCAACAAGGTCTTTGTTTATTCCATTAATGAAGCGATAAATTAATTTCCTCTGAATCTAAATCTGGAGTGCAATAGCCAGCATCCTTGAATGTCTCAAAAGGAAGAATGAGTGATACACACAAATTACATGTTTTTGATGAACTTTTCAACCAAAGACTTGGGTAAATGTGTGTTTAAGTTGAAGGATGCATACATCATTTACACACAGTTAACTAAGATACTGTCTAACCATCAATAACAAGCTGTCAGTTGCTGTTGGGCTGAATTTGCAATGTTTCCGGCAGGCACAGCAGCCCTATTTCAGGCCACTATGAACATAATGGGATGGTCATGAGACAATGCGGCGGCACACATAGGCAAACGTGGCAGGCCGTGATTGCCATGGATGCCCAGCACGATGTTTACATTCTCAAAAAATGTGCCACCGCTGTGAGTAAACTGTAGTAAAATGGCTTGCGCACAACTAACTGTGGTTGAGAGGAAAGACATTTCATCTGTGCTGTATGTTGCACATAGAGCACATTTGACAATAAAGTTGACTTGAACTTGAACTAAACATGATGGCAAATAACAGGCCGAAACAGAAGTTGGAGTCAGTCCGTAGTGGGGGGGGGAGAGAGAGAGAGAGAGAGAGAGAGAGAGAACATAGGTACTCCATACCTGTGTTGGAAAATCCTCATTGGTGGTTCATCAGCATTTTTTTCCTCAACTTTTTGGGATTCATTTTTTAAAAAGTCATTTCTACTGGGGGTCGGTTCAGTGGTTAGTGCGTTGACCTCACAGTGGAGAGGTCGTGGGTTCAATTCCAGCTCCGGCCTCCCTGTGTGGAGTTTGCATGTTCTCCCCGGGCCTACGTGGGTTTTCTCCGGGTACTCCGGTTTTCTCCCACATTCCAAAAAACATGCATGGCAGGCTGATTGAACACTCCAAATTGTCCCTAGGTGTGAGTGTGAGCGTGGATGATTGTTCGTCTCTGTGTGCCTTGCGATTGGCTGGCAACCGGTTCAGGGTGTCCCCCGCCTACTGCCCGAAGACGGCTGGGATAGGCTCCAGCACCCTCCGCGACCCTCGTGAGGATGAAGCGGTTCGGAAAATAAATGAATGAATGAATGAATTTCTACTGGGCATGAATTATACGTGGATAATTGGTATTCACGGGCCAGCCTTTTCCTTATCCCCCATGAATAACGGCCGTCCATTCCATATACATGTGGCGTCGTGTGCTGACGCTGACATGACCCTGATGCTTGAAACGTGATGCGATTTTCTGCCTCCTGGCCTCAGCAGCCCCACCCTGCATTAATGACTGTAGAATTCAACTTAAATCAAGACAAACTAGTCAGAATGGAGATGCATCAGGAAAAATGTTTGTTGGCAGGCTTCTCTGGCCATTTTCACACAAGTCATTAGCCGCGATTAGCCGTCACATTACATTAGCAATTGCTTGATAAAGATTTTTTTGTGTGTATGCAATTGATATTTAATTCATACATATCTTGTATTTGCACTAAATTCCATTTGTGGATCTTTGTTATGTTCATGTTCTTTGTGGTGGCGTCACAATTTTTTTTTTACAATTGTGGCATTTGTAGGCGTTCACCCACATAGGTTCCACTGTATTTGCATAAATCAACATTGTGTTTGTTCAGACCACAATTGGATTGTACTAAATCATTTTGTTGATTCTCAAAATCCCTCCAATAAAGTGGTGCATATTGGTGCATTAAATGGTTGGCCTACTACTTGTTATTCAGTGCATTAAGCTGTGCATTTCTCCATCTCCTTGAAAACCAATTACTGCTGAAAAGTCCACCACGTTCATGCTGCAATCTGCAACAACAGGCACACTGGTTTGTGTAGAACTGAAATGAGAGTTTCGTAATCTTTCCACAGGATACTATAACAAAATAGTATCGTACATTCTTGCATATCCCTTATGTAAGGTAAGACAGTAAAGATGACATTGGTGGACAGAATCCTTCTGTCTTGTTTATTTTCTGATTGGAAGTGAAAATGTGCCGCAAGGTTGTGAAATTGCAGTCATTTTACCTCTTCACAACACCAACGTAGGTGGATGTAAAACCTCAACAGCTTGTCCCTCAAGGCATGAAGTTACATTTTCATGTTCAGGAGCATGACAAAGTATCTGCTCCTTTTGATTTTTTTTTTTTTTTTTTTTTTTTGTAGATAAACTGCAATTGGGTTGCTACATCATGCCATCATAATGGTTGCTACGGTCTGTGTGCTTGGTTACCAAGGCAGAATATTGATTTAATCCCCGTGGGCTGTGGTCAGATCCTTGACAGTTCACCTATTGTTATGTAGATTTCACATCCCTGGGTTGCCACTGAATTAAATGTTTGTTGCAGGGAGGAATGAAAAGGTTTCACACAACATTGTCGTGAACTTTTGACCCAAATGAAAATTGCCCGGTTTTCAGTTCAAGCCAGAAACTCGCTGTTCACTGACACAAAACCAGCCACTAAAATACTGTCGGCTCAAGATTGGGCTACATTTGTGTGGTCTGATGTCAACCTTCGACAGCGCATGTGTGCTCGGCGTAAAAACTGGTACACTGTGATTTTTGTGCAGGGCCAGATTTAGTTTACCGTGTTTAGGAATTCCGGCAGGCTGTGCTGTGTCACGCTGACATTCCAGCAGACCAAAAATATTTCCTTTCATGCCCCCAGCACTCCTGACAATTTCATGGATCAAAGTCGACTTAAGACCCCTTTGGAGCAGGTCTAAGTTGTGGTGCTCCGTTGATAGGTGTGGTGGATGTTGTTGTATTTTTTTCATATTTATGACATTGATTGTTACATAAATCAATTAATTGAGCTCATCGTTATTATCATAATCTTGATTACATGTTTTAAAACAACCCCCTAGACTGCAACACAGCTATGTAGTGGTTTTCACACATTGACACGAATGATCAAAGGGTGAAGTGCCCACTTCACAATAGGGATCTGTGATTGTCCTGGCCAACTTCACATCATCGGCAAGTGATGATGTTCTTGGAGTTCCTTATAAATACATGTGGTGTGTTTCGATCTCCTGAACAAACTCTGGTGAGCCCGTTTCTGCTTCTTCCTCTCCTGCATTGAATTTAAAGGGAACGAGAGAACCAGCCTCCATTGGCCAAGAATCAAATCTGCGATGCTCACGCCCCCAACAGCGCAAACTCCCCTTTCTAATCAACAAAAATACAGAAAGAAAGAAAACTCCATCCATACGCACATTTAATCTGCACTTTGCGTTTGACTTTGCGCTGGGCAGGAAAAACTCGTGGTATCTGTTTTTTTAGGTAGCTTGATTTTCCCATCTTATCACCATCAATCATAGAAGATTATTCACCACTATAATAATCAGTGTATAATGACATAATTGTTGGCAAAATATGCCAGCAAGAAGATGGCTGTTGTATTTTTTTCATATTTATGACATTGATTGTTCCATAAATCAATTAATTGAGCTCATAGTTATTATCATAACTTCCCAAACACTGTGTGTGTGTGTGTGTGTGTGTGTGTGTGTGTGTGTGTGTGTGTGTGTGTGTGTGTGTGTGTGTGTGTGTGTGTGGAGAATTCCTCTTTTCTGCACGTCCCCCCCACCCCAACATTTCCTTTAACGTGATGATTTCACCATGATAGTACTGTCGGTAAAACAAGTTAAAGTATTGCGAGTTAGTGACCGTCACGATTGTAGTAGATCACTGTTACTTTGTTTTACAAAGTATTTCTCCCCATTTTAAACTGCAACGTATTACAGAGTTCTCCCGCTGCACAATTAAGCAATTGTTTTCTCAAAGCTGTATTGACATCATTCACAAAATGTGACGATAGTATTGTCTTGTGAGTCAATGAGCGACAGCATCGTGCGATAGTGGTTATCAAATATGCCTCACGGTTCAAAGGTTGGGAGGGTTGAATTTCAGGGTAGAATGGCAAAACATTTTCCCTTCAGTAAACTAAGTATCACATAATTACTGCTGGTCGCCCGGTGGTTGACTGGTTAGCACGACTGTGTGTGTGTGTGTGTGTGTGTGTGTGTGTGTGTGTGTGT